CATGTATTTTCTATTTACAAAAGAAAAGAGTACCGGTATTCTTTTTGAGTTATGCATAAGGTTGTCATTCATACAGTGGGGAGAACAAGTATTTGATACACTGCTGATTTTGCAGGTTTTCCTACTTACAAAGCATGTAGAGGTCTGTACATTTTATCATAGGTACACTTCAACTGTGAGAGACGGAATCTAAAACAAAAATCCAGAAAATCACATTGTATGATTTTTAAGTAATTAATTTGCATTTTATTGCATGACATAAGTATTTGATACATCAGAAAAGCAGAACGTAATATTTGGTACAGAAACCTTTGTTTGCAATTACAGAGATCGTATGTTTCCTGTAGGTCTTGACCAGGTTTGCACACACTGCAGCAGGGATTTTGGCACACTCCTCCATACAGACCTTCTCCAGATCCGTCAGGTTTCGGGGCTGTCGCTAGGCAATACAATACAATCTATTGGGTTCAGGTCTGGAGACTGGCTAGGCCACTCCAGGACCTTGAGATGCTTCTTACGGAGCCACTCCTTAGTTGCCCTGGCTGTGTGTTTCGGGTCGTTGTCATGCTGGAAGACCCAGCCACGACCCATCTTCAATGCTCTTACTGAGGGAAGGAGGTTGTTGGCCAAGATCTCTCGATACATGGCCCCATCCATCCTCCCCTCAATACGGTGCAGTTGTCCTGTCCCCTTTGCAGAAAAGCATCCCCAAAGAATGATGTTTCCACCTCCATGCTTCACGGTTGGGATGGTGTTCTTGGGGTTGTACTCATCCTTCTTCTTCCTCCAAACACAGCGAGTGGAGTTTAGACCAAAAAGCTCTATTTTTGTCTCATCAGACCACATGACCTTCTCCCATTCCTCCTCTGGATCATCCAGATGGTCATTGGCAAACTTCAGATGGGCCTGGACATGCGCTGGCTTGAGCAGGGGGACCTTGCGTGCGCTGCAGGATTTTAATCCATGACGGCGTAGTGTGTTACTAATGGTTTTCTTTGAGACTGTGGTCCCAGCTCTCTTCAGGTCATTGACCAGGTCCTGCAGTGTAGTTCTGGGCTGATCCCTCACCTTCCTCATGATCATTGATGCCCCACGAGGTGAGATCTTGCATGGAGCCCCAGACCGAGGTTGATTGACCGTCATCTTGAACTTCTTCCATTTTCTAATAATTGCGCCAACAGTTGTTGCCTTCTCACCAAGCTGCTTGCCTATTGTCCTGTAGCCCATCCCAGCCTTGTGCAGGTCTACAATTTTATCCCTGATGTCCTTACACAGCTCTCTGGTCTTGGCCATTGTGGAGACGTTGGAGTCTGTTTGATTGAGTGTGTGGACAGGTGTCTTTTATACAGGTAACGAGTTCAAACAGGTGCAGTTAATACAGGTAATGAGTGGAGAACAGGAGGGCTTCTTAAAGAAAAACTAACAGGTCTGTGAGAGCCGGAATTCTTACTGGTTGGTAGGTGATCAAATACTTATGTCATGTAATCAAATGCAAATTAATTACTTAAAAATCATACAATGTAATTTTCTGGATATTTGTTTTAGATTTCGTCTCTCACAGTTGAAGTGTACCTATGATAAAACTTACAGACCTCTAAATGCTTTGTAAGTAGGAAAACCTGTAAAATCGGCAGTGTATCAAATACTTGTTCTCCCCACTGTAATTCCATTTCATGTGTGCCACCCATGGGAAACCAGCCCAAATTCCTCAGATGCATTTTCCTCATACTTTGACATTATTTAGTTATTCATATTTTACAGTATATTCTTGCTAAGATACAGATACTTAACTGAGGTAATGCAGGTGTGTTTGGACAGTTTAGATCTCTGAAAGTAAGTCATGGAGATTTTGGAGGATTTCAGGATAAATAGTTTCCAAATGTGTAGGTATAGTGAGGTCGTGACAGACAAGTACATCAGTCAAATGCATGGAAATGCAATGCTCAATGATACATACCAGGGTTGGGGTCGATTCAGAATTTCTGCATTTAATTAAATTGAACCCATGAATTGCAATTAGAATTTGAATTGGACACACCTCACATGAAGTAGAATTTAATTCAAAGCAATTCAAAGAAATTCAACTGAGACATTAAAGTCTAATTTCTTTGACAACTATTTTACCAAAAGCATCCACCACTTATTACAGCAAATAAGCTTGATTCCAACTAAAAGTTCTCAAACAGTATTATTGTTGTATTTTTGTCAAGAGATGTTGACACTTTGTTGTTCACTGACATTTGAACTAATGCATTCTGGGAAATTATTTTTTTCTGATATTTAACATGCAAATTAATTATGAATTACTATAGACAACCTACAAGAAATAAAAAGTTAAACAAATGAAATGTTTTAACCATATGTTATACATAGTATTGGTAACCATATTTTATAGTGATGTGTAGAATAGATCATCCATTTGAATTTTATTGAATTCAATTCCACTTCATTTATTTCAAATTCAATTCAAATTATGCTTCCTGTGGGGTGTGGCCAACACCATTTTACAATTGAATTGGACACTGTGGTCCAATGATAACACTCCCAGCAGAAAGCACACATGTACAACACTGACAGTCGTGGGATTTAATCCCTGCCTCACCCCTGCAGACTTTATCTCCTCCTTGCCTGTCTTCCACATCTAATTCTTCACCATGTAAATAAAGCTTAATTAAGTACTTATGGAGAGTTTTTTTTTTTTTTATATATAAAAAAGAATTGACCCCAACCCTGACACATACAGTACATACAGTATATTGCTGTTAGTTTTGTGATGTCCATGTTCCTAGAAGTTGACTGTTTCTTGTGGGGAGGATCTTTGCCAGAATTGGATTTGACCTCTGGGTGGACCGAATTCAAATTGAAAACCAAAGACATAAGGTAATTATGTTATACATTGAGTCATCTAATCACTTTGTTGTATAAACAAAACAAAAATGGCTTTTTGCAAACTACTCACTACTATCGATTGATACTTCTTCGTAAAAGTCTCTCGATGGTGAAATGGTAATAAAAATAACGAACACTAACTCGAAGTACATCGTGGGTGACTGTGACAATGACTGCGTGAGAATTGCTAACTTAATACATAATTCAATAATTCTGTGTGCATGTTTCAGTTTGGTGCAATAATACTGGTAATATAACCTCAATTGATTTGTTATTACTGTATACAGAGAGTATACAGACTGCACATATGCAGACAAAAACACCCTTCAATTTAAAATAAATTGCACAAGGTTGATAGATATTAACCACACATATTTGTTGACATTTTGTACACAGAAGCCTAACACTATCGTGTCAAAGAAATACCGAAATGTTAAATATTTGAGAATTCATTCTTATTTTTAGAGAGAAAATTCTCACAGGTATAACAACACAATTCAACCTGATCTTTTTTTTTATCATGCATGTTCCTCCTACTATAAACTTCTCTAGGAGCCTGAATATTCAAGTCTTAATTTCAAGAGTGTGCTAAACATTCACTAATCTAAATAGATCATTGTATGACTCTTTCAAACATCGAGTGCCAGTTCTTTTATCTACTACCTAATTTTGACATTGACATATTGGTTATGAGTGTCCTATCTGAGTCTACACATGCTTTGCTTATTCAGAGTGAATAACATTGTAAGCTATTATATATTCTGAGAGGCTACAATTAAAGCCAATTCAATCAAGTGCAGATAAAGGAAAACTACCTTGTGGTTTCACTCAGAAACCACATCTCTTCTTCTTGCAGACAGTTGCCGTTATTCCAAATTGAGATCTGAACGAATGATTCATGCAAAAGTATCAGTTGCATACGCTTATCTCAACTCTGAATCGGGTCCGTAGTCATTGGATATTGATGTGTGACCACATCTGTCCTTTGCAGAGTAAGCATTGGGTCAATCATGGTGCGTTTTTTTCTTTCTCTGCAAATTGACTGAATTGGGTTCCAAGTTAACATTTTCCAGTAGAGTTTACCTTACCAATTGGCGTGTGAAGCATGGCAAGCTCTGTACAATATGAAGTCTTATGTCCAATGGCAGGTGGAGAAGTGGATAAGATAACAGGTAGGCCTATCAAGACCCAGGAAGAGTCAAAGTCCAACACCTACAGTACAACTGACGCTACTACTATTTTAGTAATTACAGCTAGTGTGTCAATCAAAGAGACATGGTGAGCAATAACATCCGGAAGGAGGGATGGAAAATTTGAACTTTTGGACAGAACACAAGATGAATTAGGAAAAATCTGTTCCTATCTCCAGCTCTGCATGCAAAACTGCTTGGACTGCTTCATCTTTTGATGCTTGGTCACTAAGTACACAAGAGAGGAGATGTTTAAACCATATTTTAGTCTTATGTAAAACCAATGCTTTGTGTGGAGCATCAGCAACATCCCTTCATCCAAGGGTTGCTCATCATCAAACTCAATAGAACAATACACACTGGAGTGACAAGTCGAGTGAAGTCATCCGGTCAGTCAGTGAAATCAGTTAAAGAGGGTCATCCAAAGTGTTATTTGAAAAGGTTTCTTACAATCAGTCCTGAAGCACAGAACAATATTGTTGCACCTCTGGTCTTTTGTGCCAAGATCAGCCAGCTTTGTCAGAAGTCTCTTGTGTACGTCCTGACCTCAAAGTTCACAGGAGGTCAGCATCCTCAATCTACTAGGAGTAGTCCAGAATCAACTGATCTAGTAAAACAGGTGACATGCATAAGATGGCATAGTTGCTCCTCTACCTGGCTAATACACCACCCACCATCCCCCCCAAAATTACAACCCCCAGCCATCTACACCCCCACCCCCAAATAAATAACATAAAATAATAATAATACTTTTTTAAATAATAATAATTATCTACTTCCGCTTAGGTCTAGCCGACCAATGAATCAGCCATATCTTGCGCCCTCATTCTTTTGGGAGTATTTCCTCCATCCCATCCCCATGCTTCTTGTATCTTGTGTTAGGGGTGAATGCTTTCTGGCAGCAGTGGAGGGAGAGGAGTTTCAGATGGATATAGGGCAGGCGATGATCTTGTCTTCCAGCATAACGCTGACCACCAGGAACACTAAGTAGAGCACGAACATGATGAAGCCCAGCAGCTTGCTCATCCGCCACTTGCAGGCAGCAATTGAGATGATGACGAAGATGAGCATGAGGAACAGCAACACAATGGCGCAGAACAGCCCGTTAGAACTCACCGCCACAGGCTGCATGTTGTTGATGATGGACCAGAGGAGCCATGGGAATGGCAGGCTGAAACACACAAAATAAACACACACACGCACACACAAACACACAAAGTGAAAACATGTTTTTAGGAATATTTGCAAATGTATTGAAAATGAAATACAGAAATATCTTATTTACATAAGTATTCACACCCCTGAGTCAATACTTTGTAGAAGCACCCTTGGCAGCGATTACAGCTGTGAGTCTTTATGGGTAAGTCTTTAAGAACTTTCCACACCCGGATTGTGCAACATTTGCCCATTATTCTTTTCAAAATTCTTCGAGCTCTGTCAAATTGGTTGTTGATCATTGCTAGACAACCATTTTCAGGTCTTGCCATATATTTTCAAGTAGATTTAAGTCAAAACTGTAACTATGCCACTCAGGAACATTCACTGTCTTCTTGGTAAGCAACTCCAGTGTAGATTTGACCTTGTGTTTTAGGTTATTGTCCGGCTGAAAGGTAAATTAATCTCCCAGTGTCTGGTGGAAAGCAGACGGAACTAGGTTTTCCTCTAGCATTCTGCCTGTGCTTAGCTCCATTCTTTATATTTTATCCTGAAAAACTCCCCAGTCCTTAACGATTACAAGCATACCCATAACATGATGCAGCCACCACCATGCTTGAAAATATCGAGAGTGGTACTCAGTAATGTGTTGTATTGGATTTGCCCCAAACATAACACTATGTATTCAGGACAAAAAGTAAATTGCTGGGGCCTCCCGAGTGGTGCAGCGGTCTAAGGCACTGCAGTGCTTGAGGCATCGCTACAGATCCGGGTTCGATCTGTAGTGATGAATAAATAAATAAATAAATGTTAATTGCTTTTACATATTTTCTGAAGTGTTACTTTAGTGCCTTGTTGCAAACACGATGCATGGTTTGAAATATTTGTATTCTGTACAGGCTTCCTTCTTTTCACTATGTCAATTAGGATAGTATTGTGGAGTAACTAAAATGTTTGTATTTGTATTTTGTATTTATTATGGATCCCCATTAGCTGCTGCCAAGGCAAGGCCTTTACTACCACATAACTACAACACAAAATCCATGTGTACGTGTGTGTACAGTGCGTATGTTATCATGCGTGTGTGTATGCATGTGATCCATCCTCAGTTTTCTCCTGTCAAAGCCATTAAACTCTGTAATTGTTTTAAAGTCACCATTGGCCTCATGATGAAATCCCTGAGCGGTTTCCTTCCTCTCTGGCAACTGAGTTAGGAAGGACGCCTGTATCTTTGTAGTGACTGGGTGTATTGATACACCATCCAATGTGTAATTAATAACTTTGCCATGATCAAAGGGATATTCAATGTCTGCTTTAATTTTTTACCCATCTACCAATAACTGCCCTTCTTTGAGAGGCATTGGAAAACCTCCCTGGTCTTAGTGGTTGAATCTGTGTTTGAAATTCACTGCTCGACTGAGGGACCATACAGATAATTGTATATGTGGGGTACAGAGACGAGGTAGAATAATTCAAAAATCATGTTTAACACTATTATTGCACAAAGAGTGATTCCATGCAAGTTATGTGACTTGTTAAGCAAATGTTTACTCCTGAACTTATTTAGGTTTGCCATAACAAAGGAGTTGAATACTTATTGACTCAAGACATTTCAGCTTTTCATTAACATGCACAATGTAAGCATGTGTGTCAAATATATAAGTTGAAAACATTGTATGTTAACAGTACTGTGTGTAACTAGTTCCACAGCCTTTTCTTAGGTAAAATGACAAATATAAATAATAATTTCTAGTTGAATGAACATATGAGACAAATTGAGCAAACACATCATTTTAAGTTGACATAATTTTTCACTACGTTTTCTCATGTTGGAGCTAGGTTTGGGCGAACTAAAATGTTTTAGTTCAGGTAACACTGACTGAAAAGTTGAGTAGTGGGAACTTCCATGTCCCCCATGGGCAAACCTTATTCAATCAAACAAATTTGAGAATACAACATAGTTCAGTGAACTTTTACAACATATTATATCTGGCAAGCATTTATCATATAGATGGAAATAATTCTTATGAAAATGGTACCTAAGTGTAATTATTGTGGTTTTAGTGAATCCCAAGTAAACCGAAAGCTACTTATTGGATAAGAACAAAGTAATATGACTGTTATTATGTAATATGTAAAAACTTCCCCCAGCACTGCGAGAATGCTAATAAGAATAATCTTATAATAAACAATGTTCAAAATGTGAAACTAACAGATATCAAAATAAATGAGTAATTAGATATAAGAGTGGTCACAGTACTGATGACATCAGCGTACCCAACAGTGATGTCAAAGATGTTGGAGCCCACAGAGCTGGACACAGCCATGTCCCCCAGTCCCTTCCGTGCAACAATGACACTGGTGATTAGGTCAGGGATGGAGGTACCAGCTGCTAATATAGTCAAACCCATAATCTCTTCTGTAATCCCAATGGTCTCTCCAACCTGTAGAGAGAAAAGAGAAAAATATTGGGTAAATAAAACAACATCTTTTTTTTCTTCGCTGAGAGGTTGAGTAGAGGTGAGGTTTAAGGAATTACACAGTGAGCTATACTTTGGACTTATTTTTTGTTAATTTTTTTCCATTCTGTTAACATGCATGATAAGGAGAAAATCCCAGTATTTGGGGACAGAGGATATTTTGGCACTCTGACTATTTGGTGCTGTCTAGCTTTGAATGGCATACAGGTCTTAGCCTGAATACATTTCACGGAAAGCTGCTAATAACAATCCCACAGCATTCTAACCCTCTGAATATCCCTCTACTTTTCTAATGACCTATACGTCCTCCCACTTGCTTGTGAACACGCTTGTGTTCTGTTCTGTGTGAGGAGGTGGTTTAGTGTCTTCACTAAAGGCAACATGATTTCACTAAATGTAGTACTGAACCATCTTGCATTTTTCAGCAACTATGGTGTGTGCATAACTAGGGCTGTTACGGTGACCGTATTACCGCCACACTGGTGGTCACAAGTCATGACGGCATTCAAATTCCACGTGACCGTTTAGTCACGGTAATTATGCTTCTCCAAGCTCTGATGCTGCTGATGGTCATTAGTAGTCTACCAAACTTGCTAACTGCCTAGTACTCAGCACTCTATTGTCCTTCTAATCACTCTGACAACACTTAACAAAGAGTTGCAGTTAGTTTCAGAATGGGTGGCAAGGAATAAATAATTCACTAAACCCTAAACCTCAACTAAATCTTGTAATGAATAATGTGGAAATTGAGCAAGTTGAGGTGACTAAACTGCTTGGAGTAACCCTGAATTGTAAACTGTCATGATCAAAACATATTGATACAACAGTAGCTAAGATGGTGAGAAGTCTGTCTATAATAAAGCGCTACTCTGCATTCTTAACAGCACTATCAACAAGGCTGGTCCTACAGACACACATGCATACCCCACAAGACATGCCACCAGAGGTCTCTTCACAGTCCCAAAGTCCAGAACAGACTATGGGAGGCACATAATACTACATAGAGCCATGACTACATGGAACTCTATTCCACATCAAGTAACTCATACAAGCAGTAAAATTAGATAATGGAACAGCAGTGGCTGTGACGCAACACAACTTCCTCCGAAGCTGCCACTTCTCCTTGTTCGGGCAGGCTTCGGCGTTCGTCGTCACCGGCCTTCTAGCCACTGCCGCTCCTCATCTCATCATTCCATTTGTTTTGTCTTGTTTATTACACACACCTGGTTCATATCCCCTCATCAGTACCTGTATAAGTGTTCCCTCTGCCCAGTTGTCTTTGTGTGTGATTGTTTATTGTGGAGGATAGTGAAGCTCGATGGAGCTCCTTGTATTTTGTATCGCCTGGATATTTTCCTGTGTGCCTTGTGTTTTCCAGTGCGCCTGTTTTGCGCACTGGAGTGTTTTTGACGCATTACTGCGTAACTCTGTGGTTGTGGAATAAAGCCTGTTATTCTGTGATTTACCCTCCTGCGCCTGACTCCTTCGACATCATCTCATCACACCTCTATTAAAAAGAGGAGGATCCCATCCGCTTTCTATAGGCAAGGCCTACTATATTTATTTATCAACTTTCCTAATATTAAGCATATTGTTTCGCTTTAAAACAGGAGTATAGCCTACCTGGCTGGTATGAAAATGAACCACGGGAAAAGCGTCCTCCATTCGCTATTGCAGTGCATAGATTACTTTTTTTTTTTCATGCCCCTGTTCCGAGACAGGTGCATGATAATAGTCCATTCAAAATCAAAACTAATTGCACACATATATTATTTAATATATGTAAAGGCAACATTCAATTAAGAATAGTCTGATGGGTGACAATATTAACCTATCACTTGTGAATGATGTATTATCACTTGTGAATGATGCCCAGCTTGTGCAATAAGGAAAGAAACAGCGCATGCCTTTTATGTGCGACTAATTCAAATCATAGTCGCACACCTCATGTATGCAAGCCCATAGGCCTATGTGTATATATCACAACTAAAGTGGCCAAATACCTTCTTAAAATTAAGCACATTAAACCGCTTTATAACCGGTATAAAGCCTAACTGGCATAGGCTGCGATTGAGTTTCAAGTTTGGGGAAGATCATTTTCACCATAAAAATGCAACTTTATAATAAAGCATCACATGCATAATCATTTTTTTGAGAACAGTTTTTTTCCCGCTAATTGAATGCATTTTGGAACATTCACGCTTATAGCCTACTGCCATGTGTGCATTGCTGCACGTATAATGTGAAGAAATAGCTTAACAGTTTATCAACCTTTTAAGCTAAATGTTCTGATCTGTTGCATCAGCCTCATTGCTTTTAAAAAATGTTTTGATGCGAGTGGTTTTATTCATTTGGGATCTATCGCATCCCACAAGTATGTTTGGAATATTTATTTACCATTATTCACCAGTATGAAAATGTATGCACTCACTAACTGTAAGTCGCTCTGGATAAGAGCGTCTGCTAAATGTAAATGACTAAAATGTAAAAATGTATTAAATTAGAATAGGTCAACTTTTGTACTATGGGGGATAGTAGATTGACATAGGCTAGTGCTGTTCTTTAGGCCTACTCATTTATTTTTATTTTTTATTTAACCTTTATTTAATTAGGCAAGTCATTTAAGAACAAAGTCTTATTTACAATGACGGCCTACCAAAAGGCAAAAGGCCTCCCGCCGGGGACGGAGGCTGGGATTAAATCAATAAATATATATAAATATAGGACCAAAAACACATCACAACAAGAGAGAGAATATATAAAGAGACACTACATAAAGAGAGACCTAAGACAACAAGATAGCATGGCAGCAACACACGACAACACAGCAAGGTAGCAACCCAACATGAAAACAACATGGTAGCAGCACAACATGGTAGCAGCACCAGCACAAGACATGGTACAAACATTATGGGGCACAGACAACAGCAAAAAGGGCAAGAAGGTAGAGACAACAATACATCACGCGAAGCAGCCACCACTGTCAGTAAGAGTGTCCATGATTGAGTCTTAGAATACAAGAGATGGAGATAAAACTGTCCAGAGTGTTTTTTGCAGCTCGTTCCTGTCGCTAGCTGCAGCGAACTGGAAAGAGGAGCGACACAGGGATGTGTGTGCTTTGGGGACCTTTAACAGAATGTGACTGGCAGAACGGGTGTTGTATGTGGAGGATGAGGGCTGCAGTAGGTATCTCAGATAGGGGGGAGTGAGGCCTAAGAGGGTTTTGTAAATAAGCATCAACCAGTGGGTCTTGCGATGGGTATACAGAGATGACCAGTTTACAGAGGAGTACAGAGTGCAGTGATGTGTTCTATAAGGAGCATTGGTGGCAAAACTGATGACCGAATGGTAAAGAACATCTAGCCACTCGAGAGCACCCTTACCTGCCAATCTATAAATTACGTCTGCGTTATCTAGCATGGGTCGGATGGTCATCTGAATCAGGGTTAGTTTGGCAGCTGGGGTGAAAGAGGAGTGATTACGATAGAGGAAACCAAGTCTAGATTTAACCTTAGCCTGCAGCTTTGATATGTACTGAGAGAAGGACAGTGTACTGTCTAGCCATACTCCCAAGTACTTATATGAGGTGACTACCTCAAGCTCTAAACCCTCAGCGTTAGTAATCACACTGGTGGGGAGAGGGGCAATCGTCTTACTGAACCACATGACCTTTTGTTTTGGAAGTGTTCAGAACAAGGTTAAGGGCAGAGAAAGCTTGTTGGACACTAAGAAAGCTTTGTTGTAGAGCGTTTAACACAAACTCTGGAGAGGGGCCAGCTGAGTATAAGACTGTATCATCTGCATATAAATGGATGAGAGAGCTTCCTACTGCCTGAGCTATATTGTTGATGTAAATTGAGAAGAGCGTGGGGCTTAGGATCGAGCCTTGGTGTACTCCCTTGATGACAGGCAGTGGCTGAGATAGCAGATGTTCTGACTTTATACACTGCACTCTTTCATTTATATTTGTATTTATTAAGGATCCTCAAGGCAGCAGCTACTCTTCCTGTGGTCCAGCAACATCAAGGCAGTTATATACAATTTAAAATATTACATGACATTACATTTCATAACACTTTTCACAACACATTGTGTTCCCTCAGGCCACTACTCTGCTACCACATATCTACAATACAAAATCTATGTGTATGTGTGTGTAGAGTGCATGTCTTATCATGTGTATGTATAAGCATCTGTCTGTGCCTGAGTGTCTCTTCACAGTCCCCACTTTTCCATGTTATTTATCTGTTTTTTAAATCTGATTCTACTGCTTACATGAGTTACCTGATGTGGAATATAGTTCCATGTAGCCATTGCTCTACGTAGTACTTTGCACCTCCCATAGTCTGTTCTTGGCTTGGGGATTGTGAAGAGAACTCTGGTGGCATGTCTGGTGGGGTATGCATGGGTGTCCGAGCTGTGTGTTAGTAGTTTAAACAGACACATCGGTGCAATCAGCATGTCAACACTTGTTACAAAAACAAGTATTGATGAAGTCACTCCACTTTGAGTCATGAGAGATTTACATGCATATTATTAATGTTAGCTCTCTGTGTACATCTAAGCGCCAGCCATGCTGCCCTGTTCTGAGCCAATTGTAATATTCGGAGGTCCCTCTTTGTGGCACCTGACCACATGACTGAACAGTGGTCCAGGTGCGACAAAATTAGGGCCTGTAGGACCTGCCTTGTTGATAAGGCAGAGAAGCACTTTTTATGGACAGACTTCTCCCCATCTTACCTACTGTTGCATCAACATGTTTTGACCAATCCAGGGTTACTCCAAGCAGTTTAGTCACCTCAACTTGCTCAATTTCCACATTATTTATTACAAGATTTAGTTGAGGTTTAGGGTTTAGTGAATGAATTGTCCCAAATACAATGCTTTAAGTTTTGGAAATATTTAGGACTAACTTATAATTTGTCACCCATTTAAAGCCGCACTGAAGTCTTACAAAACAGCTCCCACAATCTTGTTATCATCAATTTCTCTTAGCCAATCAACAGTCATTTGTGTAAGTGTCGTGCTTGTTGAATGTCCTTCCCTATAAGCATGCTGAAAGTCTGTTGTCAATTAGTTTACTGTAAAATAGCATTGTATCTGGTCAAACACAATTTTTTCAAAAAGTTTACTAAGGGTTGGTAACAGGCTGATTTGTCGGCTATTTGAGCCAGTAAAGGGGGCTTTAATATTCTTGGGTAGCTAAATTACTTTTGCTTCCCTCCAGGTCTGAGGGCACACACTTTCTAGTAGGCTTAGATTGAAGATGTGGCAATATCGTCCGTTACTATCCTCAGTAATTTTCCATCCAAGTTGTCAGACCCCGGTGGCTTGTCATTGTTAATAGACAACAATACTGTTTTCATGTCTTCCACACTCACTTTACGGATTTCAAAATTACAATGCTTGTCTTTCATAATTTGATCAGTAATACTTGGATGTGTAGTGCCAGCGTTTGTAGTTGGCATGTCATGCCTACATTTGCTAATCTTGCCAATTAAAAAAAACATTAATAATGGAGCTGAGTTTGCCTGTTTTAGCCCGAATGTTCATTTAAGGTGCTCCAAAGCTTTTTACTATCATTCTTTACATCATTTATATTTGTTTCATAATATATTTTCTTCTTCTTTTTATTTTGTTTAGTCACATGATTTCTAAATTTGCAGTACATTTGCCAATCGGTTGTGCGGCCAGACTTATTTGCCATTGTCACGACACGAGGGGCTGCCTCCCCTCCTTGTTCGTCACCGGCTTACTAGCCACTGCCGCTCCATTATTCATCATTCCATTTGTCTTGTCTTTTCATCACACACACTTGGTTCTTATCCCCTCATTAGTCTGTGTATAAGTGTTCCCTCTGCCCCCCTTGTCCTTGTGGGTGATTGATTGACTGTGAGAGTAGTGTAGCTCGGTGGATTTACTCGTACCTTGTTATTGCCGGGGTAGATATTTCCCCTGTGCCTGTTATTGTTGGAGCTACCATTACCTTGTATTGCCAGGGTAGATTTTCCCCTGTGCCTGTTTCGTTTGTCCCTCCCATAAAAAATATTTATGGGAGTGACAAACGAATGGCTGTGATGAGTGTGATAGATAACAGTGACCACCAAGTGCTAACAGTCCGTGTCAAAAAACTCTGCATTCGGTGATTACCCTCCTGCGCCTGACTCCTTCTATCATTTACATTTACGTCATTTAGCAGACGCTCTTATCCAGAGTGACTTACAGTTAGTGAGTGCATACATATTTTATGTTTTTTATATTTTTTTAATACTGGACCCCCGTGGGAATCGAACCCACAACCCTGGCGTTGCAAACACCATGCTCTACCAACTGAGCTACATCCCTGCCAGCCATTCCCTCCCCTACCCTGGCCGACTTGTGCGCCGCCCCATGGGTCTCCCGGTCACGGCCGGCTACGACAGAGCCTGGATTCAAACCAGGATCTCTAGTGGCACAGCTAGCACTGCGATGCAGTGCCTTAGACCACTGCGCCACTCGGGAGGTTATCTATTACACTCATCACAGCCATTCCTTTTGCCTAATCCCTCTAAAATGTTCAATTCCTTATCAAACAGTTTTTACAGTAATTTGCTTAATGGGTGCATGCTTATTTGTAACTGGAATAAGCAATTTCATAAATGTGTCAAGTGCAGCGTCTGGTTGCTCCTCATTACACACCATAGACCAACAAATATAATTTACATCAAGAACATAGGTGTCACGGTTTCGGCCGAGGCTGCTCCTCCTCCTTGTTCGGGCAGGTTTCGGCGGTCGTCGTCCCCGGAGTACTAGCTGCCACCGATCTATGTTTCATGTTCGTTTGGTTTTGTCTTGATGTTGTACACCTGTGTCTAGTTAGTCCTCATTAGTGTCCTATTTAGTTCTCGTTGTGTGTGTATGGTGTTGTGTGTGATTGCTCTTCTGTTTTGGTGTTCTGAGCTGCGTACTTCCCTCCGTTGTTTGGAGAGGTTTTCGCACATGTTCGTGCGCCTTTTGTTTGACGCCTGTGTGCGCCTTTATTTCGCCTCCGGGCTTATTGTGCTCGTGTACTACATGAATAATTCACTAAAGCCTTTTGGACTTAGCTTCTGCGTCCTGCGCTTGATTCCTGCACCACACCCACCTTCAGCACCCCTGACAATAGGATTCACTATAAAATGTATTATATGACCTCTTGTACACTATATTAGGCCCAGCCTTTGTAATTTTGGTTTTCCTACATATGGCTACTATATTGTGATCACTACATCCAATGGATTTGGATACTGCTTTAAAGCAAATTTCTGCAGCATTAGTAAAGAAGTGATCAATACATGTTGATGGTTTCATTCCTGTGCTGTTTGTAACTACGCTGGTAGGTTGACTGATAACCTGAACCAGGTTGCAGGCACTGGTTGCAGTTTGAAGCTTTTTCTTGAGTGGGCAGCTTGATGAAAGCCAGTCAATATTTAAATCACCCAGAAAATATACCTCTCTGTTGATAACACATACAGTGAGGGAAAAAAGTATTTGATCCCCTGCTGGGACCATAGTCACCAAATCTGTGGAGGGAGCTGAAGGTTTGAGTTGCCAAACGTCAGCCCCGAAACCTTAATGACTCCTGAGATGTGTGCAAACCTGGTGGCCACCAAACCTGGTGGCCAACTACAAGAAACGTCTGACCTCTATGATTGCCAACAAGGGTTTTGCCACCAAGTTCTAAGTAATGTTTTGCAGAGGGGTCAAATAATTATTTCCCTCATTAAAATGCAAATCAATTTATAACATTTTTGACATGCGTTTTTCTGGATTTTTTTGTTGTTATTCTGTCTCTCACTGTTCAAATAAACCTACCATTAAATTATAGACTGGTCATTTCTTCTCAGTGGGCAAACGTACAAAATCAGCTGGGGATCAAATATTTTTTTCCCCTCACTGCACATTATCAATCATTTCACACAGATACGGACTGTTAGCACTTGGTGGTCATTGGCATTTCTGTATTTTCTGTAGATGTTATAACCATGTATTGCTACCACTGTATCATCAAAGGTATTGTTTCAGTGATAGTCAGAATATGAATGTCATCGGTTAGTAGCAAATTATTGAGTTCATCAACCTTGTTTCTTAAGCTACAATTGTTAACATGGGCTATTTTTAGCACTTTTCTGGGATGCTTTATTGTTTTTATTGCTATACTGGGAATCTTAGCAGAAATACATATGCTCATGTTATATATGTTAGTGCAGAGTGAGCTGCACACAGTGGACTTCCTGCTAGGGCACACCGCCTCAGTGCTAACAGTATAACTCTGGTTCATAGGCACATGATTACTGCATACAATAGCTGTAGGATCAGCAGAGGCATTCAGGGCAGTTAGAGGGACATAAATTAGGTTACTTACATTGTGTCTACCAATGCCCCTGGGATAATGTACATTTGCTGAAGCATTATGACAACTCAGCAACACAATGGTAGGGATGAATTGAGTTGGGCTTGGGTCATTGATAAATCATTGTCTCAACGCAGCCTTATAATGTTGTGAAAGGATCCAGGAACCCAAATTATTCGGGGGTATCGAAATTGTCAACAAAAGTTATACTCATTGAGCTGCAATAATCACGTAGCCAGTTGTGAAGTGAAAAATCCTGCTAAAGCATTCCAATGCCACGATTCAGAGAGGGCACAAGGCCAGATATTATGCGTATTTTATTAGTGTCTAGCAGAGAATCAATCAGCTCTTTAAAATCCAGTTTCAACTGTTCAGAGCTGCCCTTCATAATGTCATTAAAACCCACATGGACTACGATGGAATTGATTTCCATGTCCTGACGTAGTACATTCGGGAGCAGCTTAGTAATGTCATTTACTGGAGCTCCGGGATAGGAATGTTTTTGCACCAGGAACAGTGACATTTCTTACCATGGAGCTGCCCAAAATCACGGCTAGCGAGAAGGACGAGAAAATCCGCCCACTCCCACGCATCACAGTATTTGGAGAACCCTTTAAGGACGGGCGAGAGGCAGGATAACTTGCTGGCTGACGAAAAGTAGGCTAAATGTTGACAGTTCTAACATCTTCAATATGTGTCAAATATGTGTCTGTCTTCATTCACTTGTAGCCTACTTCTTTGCTGAAATGCCTGTGAGAAGGACCCGATCATGTGATGGGCATTGGTTAATAAGAATTGAGATATCTGAGACAGCAATGGGAGTGAGAGGTGCTTTGGTGCACGGCACCTGGGAGAAGGGAATTATAATTATTATATTTAGTCCAAGGGAACAACGGCCACTGTGGCCGCAAAAGGCATGGACTTTTTAGGGGGCATTATGGCCACATAAGGGGGATGCAGCCTGGAAATTCGAGGCCTGGTGAATATTATCACGTGCTTGTCAAATTGTAAATGAGAGACTGATGAAGTGTGTGCGGCTTGCACAAGAAACAAATCAAAGCTCATGCATTTCATGCAACTTTTTTCAAATCATCATTAGAGTCCCATCATACAGCCTTAGAATGTATTAAAAATCCAAACATATAGCCCAATGTTTGTATCACAACTAAAGTTGCATAAATAACTCTAAATTAAGCATTTCCTGTAGGAGGACCAGTTTCTTTGTTAACCGCTCAACACAGAATAGCCGCATGTGCGCACATCCTTTGAAATCGTTTGGAGAATATAGCCTTTCTATTTTATTAAGTTATGTTCAATTGTATTCTTCATACTATAAAATAATAAAAAAGTATGCCATGGAATTCTAAGCAAATCCTGTCTGCTAAATGAACTAGTGTCGCCCACAGCTGTATGGCATAGCCATATCAGGGCCTAACATAAGGACAGCTCAGAGTATGCTATTCTGTTCTTCTGAAATAGAGTAAATGTTCTTCATATCATGCTTCTTTAGACCTGTCTAAAATAAATAATGGATTTATTGTGATGGTGTAGGCCATATTAAATGGATTTATTATACTTTTTTAAATGTAGACGTTCCAAAGTTCTGCATCAGTAGCTTGTAGGCTATGTGTGGAAGCCAGGAGATGCTAAACTTGTTTATGTTAATTAACAGTCAATTACCGTGAGAACGGCAGTTATGTGCTTGACAATCACCGGCTGACAAAACTTTATGACCGCCATAACCCTATGCACAACCAGACCAGCTTATTACAGCTTGGTTTGGCTTGGTTCGGTAAGGCTCAGTAGTGTGAAAAACCCTTAACGGTTCAATTAATTTAACACTCCACATACCTGGTGAGCCCACCACACCATTAAGTAGGAGAATCCAGCAATCCAACAGATAGAACCCAGAAATGAGATGGGAAAGAACTTCTTTGCAGTCTGTTAGACAAAGGAGGAAAAAGCTATAGTTACTATAAAGATGGAAATGACAGAAATGAAGCCTCAATACTATGGTATTACAGATAACACATCACACAATTACCAGTTATAGCAAAATAAATAGACAAATAGATTTCATACCAAACATGAGTCTTTCTCTCTATGTTTGTGTCACAAATGGCACCCTATTCCCTATACTACCTTTGACCAAGGCCCATAGGGTGTAGTGCACTATATAGGGACACAGGCTAATTCTCTATCTGACAAACTGAAACAGTAAGAGATAGAAATGGAGGGGAAGCACTTACTGGTTTCCTGACATCAGGCAGTGTTAGCCACAGAGGGAAGATGATGGGCATGATTAAGAGGTAGGTGAAACGCTTGCGCATGGTATCTGGCCAGGACAGGCTCAGAGGCTGGTCCTCATCCTCCTCATCCTCAGCCTAAGAAGAGAGAGCTTTCAGTATGGATACAGTTTCAAATTTCAAAAAAGCACTCGCACATCTGAATTATCTCGTTGCAGGTGCGTGGAAATAATGCGATATATTCAAAGAAAAGAGAAACCCGCAGTATGGATACAGTTAATGTGAAATTGGTTTGGAGAAATTGGGAGATCTGTGCTAAAAAATTGTTTCAAGGGGTCATGTGGTGCAGTCAGGGTCAGCCATCCTAAAGCTCTGCAATACACAGTACAACAAAATGTTCAAGGGGTCAAGTCAGGCACATCCATGGGCACCTGGACTGTGAATGAAACAAAGGCTCTTGTGATTTATTTCATCACCACTTGACCGCTATTCAATAAGCAAGAAGGCCCCTTTCTGGGAGAAAAATATAATTATGACGATGTTGATGATAAATAATAATGACAACTAAGGCCTTAGGAATTGATGATAGAGTTGGTCAGCATGCCCTCACTCTCTGTGACCTTGAGAGAGTGGTGTTTGATGACAGAGGTTGGGAAGATTGCTCCAAGCCTGGAGGAGTCTGACACTCTACTCATCAGGTACAAGGCCCACTACGACTGTCTGGACTGCTGGACCTTTAGTGTCTGAATACCAGGTGAGAGACCTCAACTTCTGAAGATAAGAGTCTGCATCGCTGTGTAGGTGACATGAAAGTAGGCAGTGTCTCACTTTTCCACTGAAAAGTGGCTCACTGCATGACATTAATCCAAGCAGGCCTCTTCTTGACTAAATCCAGACCCATCCATCAGTTACCTGATATATTGCATTATTGTGTCGAAGAGCGGTATCAATCACACCATCAAAGGCATCATTTGCTCTAGCTAAAACACGCGGAACAAGCTTAAGAACCTGAGCAACGGCGTTTGGTATTTTTGGCTCATCTGTACAAATCTTGACAACTTCTAGCCATGTTTTTAAGATGGAAAAATTATGTTTTACATATTTGTTTTATGTGGGCATCGAAGAAAAAGAGAAGGATCAAACTTGACTCCTAGGTTGGAGATGACAGAGGACAGGTGGAAGACTTGGCCGTTGATTGTAGGGCAGATGTTTCCAGCACTGGTGACCTGCTTGGGTGTCCCAATAAGCATAGCCTCAGTCTTGCTACTGTTCAACTTGAGGAAGTTCTCTTTCATCCATGCATTGATGTCTTCTATGCAGCTGCTGAGTTTTGCAAGCTGCTGATTGTCCGGTTTGGTGTTACTATAAATCTGGGTATTGTCAACGTAGCATGTGAAGTTGATGTTATAATCTCTGAGGATTTGGTCGAGAGGGAGCATGTAAATTAAAAACGGGATAGGGCCCAACACTGACCCCTGTGGGACGCTGCATGTGACTGCAGACTCCTCAGATCTGGACTCTCCTATATTGATGTATTGCTTCCTATTAGAGGTAGGACGAGAAACACCGATCTACAGTGCTTTCAGAAAGTATTCATACTCCTTGAATTATTCCACATTTTGTTGTGTTACAACCTGAATTCAAAATGGATTAAATCAAAAAATAATCTCACCAATCTACACACAATACCCCATAATGACAACGCGAAAACATGTGTCATGACTCTCTCCTTGGTGAGGATCAAAGGTGCCAGATCAGCTTGGAAAATTGCTGACAGATAGCCAGACCCCCACACCCCCTCTGGCTCTCTAGTATGGTAAGACTGAAATCTCTTTGTTATAGATAGACTTTTGCCGCCAAAACCTTTTTCTCCAAAAGATTGGACATTGGAACATTGTTGTTGAGATCCAAATGTTTGGAATGGTCGGTGGGGATCTAAAGAATAATGTTGTCATATTGTTTATTGTTTTGTGATGCCACTAAGGATGGTATTACTAAATAACTGTATCTCGGAAAGTGTAAATATTCTATCTATCAAGTTTACATCTAAATGTTGTATAAAATATATTATTAAGTATGAGAGTATTTTGGTGAAGATAGGAATGTGATTTTAGTCTTCTAATGAGATAATAGTTTTTCATATAAACTATGCACAGTGACTAGCCACGCCACGAGTGACATCAGAGATCGTGTCATCACGATGGAATTCCCCTTTTTACAAAGAGGGCATAAAAAGCATTGAAAAACAAATCAACCTTTAAACCAGGAAGCGTGGAGAGTGGTGACTGCACGTTTAAAATGGTTAGAACTTTAAATGAGAAAGACCAGCCGATGTGAAGCGCGAGGTCACGTTACAAATGGTTGAACCTCTACAGACCAGGAAGTGTGGAGCGGTGGCTACACATCTTAAAATGGTTGACACTCTACAGACCAGAAAACGTGAGACAGTAGTCCACACGTTTGAAAAGGTGAGAAACTCTGAAACTCTCAATCTCTACACAAGAAGAAGAAACTCACTAGACCGTAGACCAGTCTGCAGCTGGCATGTAAAGCAGTCTAGAACGTTCACTAAAGACACAAGTTGGGAAGGACAATCCCTCTCAGACAACCGTTGGTACATCTGAAGTATCTATTCTAACGAACACATTTACATTTACATTTACGTCATTTAGCAGACGCTCTTATCCAGAGCGACTTACAGTTAGTGAGTGCATACATTCTTTTTTATACTGGCCCCCCGTGGGAATCAAACCCACAACCCTGGCGTTGCAAACGCCATGCTCTACTGAGCTACATCCCTGCCGGCCATTCCCTCCCCTACCCTGGACGAATTGTGCGCCATTTGAAGACAAGCCGAGTCTCACCGAAGTGGGATAGGACACTCAAACCCCTTTTTGAGAAAATGAAGATTGCCCTATTTGGTAAAAGACCAAGTCCATATTATGGCAAGAACAGCTCAGATAAGCAAAGTGAAACGACAGTCCATCATTACTTTAAGACATGAAGGTCAGTCAATACGGAACATTTCAAGAACTTTGAAAGTTTCTTCAAGTGCAGTCGCAAAAACCACCAGCGCTATGATGAAACTGGCTCTCATGAGGACCGCACAGGAATGGAAGACCCAGAGTTACCTCTGCTGCAGAGGATAAGGTCATTAGAGTTACAAGCCTAAAAAATTGCAGCCCAAATAAATGCTTCACAGAGTTCAAGTCACAGACACAGCTCAACATCAACTGTTCAGACAGGACTGTGTGAATCAGGCCTTCATGGTCGAATTGCTGCAAAGAAACCATTACTAAAGGACACCAATAAGAAGAAGAGACCTGCTAGGGCCAAGAAACACGAGCAATGGACATTAGACCAGTGGAAAGTTGTAATTTGGTCTGAACCGCCGTGTCTTTGTGAGACGCGGTGTGGGTGAACGGATGATCTGTGCATGTGTAGTTCACACCGTAAAGCATGGAGGAGGATGTGTGGGAGCTTTGCTGGTGACACTGTCTGTGATTTATTTAGAATTCAAGGCACACTTAATCAGCATGGCTACCACAGCATTCTCCAGCAATACGCCATCCCAACTGGTTTGGGCTTAGTGAGACTATCATTTGTTTTTCAACAGGACAATGACCCAACACAGCTCCAGGCTGTGTAAGGGCTATTTTACCAAAAAGGAGAGTGATGGAGTGCTGCATCAGATGATCTGGCCTCCACAATCCCCCGACCTCAACCCAATTGGGATGGTTTGGGATGAGTCGGACTGCAGAGTGAAGGAAAAGCAGCCAACAAGTGCTCAGCATATGTGGGAACTCCTTCAAGACTGTTGGAAAAGCATTCCAGGTGAAGCTGGTTGAGAGAATGCCAAGAGTGTGCAAAGCTGTCATCAAGGCAAAGGGTGGCTATTTGAAGAATCTCAAATATAAAATAGATTTTGATTTGTTTAACACTTTTTTGGTTACTACATGATTCCATATGTGTTATTCCATAGTTTTGATGTCTTCACTATTATCCTACAATGTAGAAAACAGTAAAAATAAAGAAAAACCTTTGAATGAGTAGGTGTGTCCAAACATTTGACTGGTACTGTAAGTATTCAAACCCCTGACTCAATACATGTTAGAATTTGGCAGCGATTACAGCTGTGAGTCTTTCTGGGTAAGTCTCTAAGAGCTTTGTATACCTGGATTTTACAATATAATATGCAATTCTTCAAGCTAGACAGGCATTTTCAAGTCTTGCCATATATTTTGAAGCCACTTTAAGTCAAAACTGTAACTAGGCCACTTAGGAACATTCAATGTCGTCTTGGTAAGCAACTCCAGTGTATACTTGGCCTTGTGTAAATTTGGTTATTGTCCTGCTGATAGGTGTATGTCTCCCAGGGTCTGTTGGAAAGAAGACTGAACCAGGTTTTCCTCTAGGATTTTGCCTGTACTTAGCTCTATTCCGTTTCTTTTATCCTAAAAAACTCCCTAGTCCTTGCCGATGATAAGCATACCCATAACATGATGCAGCCACCACTATGCTTGAAAATATGAAGAGTGGTACTCAGTGATGTGTTGTGTTGGATTTGCCCCAAACATAACACTTTGTATTCAGGACATAAAGTTAATTTCTTTGCCACATTTTTTGTAGTTTTACTTTACTGCCTATTGCAAACAGGATGCATGTTTTGGAATATTTGTATTTTGTACAGGCTTCCTTCTTTTCCCTCTGTCAATTAGGTAAATATTGTGGAGAAACTACAATGTTGATGATCCATCCTCAGTTTTCTCCTATCACAGCCATTAAACTCTGTAATTGTTTTTAAGTCACCATTGGCCTGATGGTGAAATCCCTGAGTGGTTTCCTTCCTCTCCGGCAACTGAGTTAGGAAGGACGCCTGTATCTTTGTAGTGACTTGGTGTATTGATACACCATCCAAAGTGTAATTAATAACTTCACCATGCTCAAAGGGATTCTCAAGGTCTGTTTTCTTAAACCCGTCTGCCAATAGGTGCCCTTCTTTGTGAGGCATTGGAAAACCTGGTCTTTGTAGTTTAATCTGTGATTGAAATCCAATGCTCAACTGAAGGACCTTACAGATAATTGTATATGTGGGGTACAGAGATGAAGGAGTCATTGAAATATCATGTTAAAGACTT